TTTAATTTGGTGTAGTATATCAAAATTTAAAATAAACTAAATTAATATTATTAAAAGTAAAAATGTAAATAAAAAAGATTTAGTGTTTTAGAATAATTTGAAAAAACATTATTGTTTTATAATAAGTATTTAAATATATAATAAGGGGTGTTGTGCCCTTTTATTTGAGTTTTTGAATAATGCTAGAAATCTAAGGCCATGTTTTTTGTGTAGAAAGTAATATTTTGTTTTATAAGTTTAAAAAAATTTAAAAAAAACTGTTTAATAAAGATATTTTGTGATAATTGATTTCGAAACAAGTATTACTTTTTAAGTTTGTAAAATAAAATAAAAAAACTGAAAATAGTTCAGCCTTGTGGGAAGAAATAAAATATACCTGAGTATGCATCATTAAATTTATTATTTTTTTTCAAAGATACAAAATTCATTTCATTTCATTACCTGTGATTGCCACAAAATTTTGACTTAGCAAATTTGATTATATTAACCCTGTAGGAATTGCAGTTGATATCATTTGATATTTGCATTATCTGCTATAAAAGCTTGTGTGCCGACTATGCTAGTTAATATGCATGACTTGAGATCAGTGTCACGTCAATGGCGTTTTCCAACTTTATTAGTGCCGTTTTCCAGTGTGGATATGGTATAATTAGTCAAAGAATGACCACTCTTTAATTTGTTCACCAAAAGCTTAGCCAAAGCCGTAGTTGCTTTCCTACTTTACGTAGATGATAGAATAAGGGTTTCGACTTTTCCTTTTCAACAATTATTTAACTATATTAAACATTTTAGAACGTTTTCTAATTAAATACCCTGACAGAAGAAGAAAAAAATAAGGAGGAAGGATTAAAAATGATGTCAATGTTGATTCAAAAACATTGTTGAATCTGTCTATCTCTTCGTTACACCTGTTACAGCGTTACTAGTTACTAATGCATTAATTTTCTGCCACGTTCTCTTTCTTTTTTGGCAAAGTCATATCTGATAAGTATAGGTAGATGCATGAAAATTAAGAGCCACAATTCTGGGTAAGAATCAGCATATTATCACATATTGCTGGCTGATTTTTGAGAGGCTTGATTAATTGTATTTGCAGCCAAACCAATGGCTGATGAATAAAAATTGATGAAACATTGAACCAATAATAATCGAATCGAAACAAGCACATCAACCCCCCTCTCAACCAATGGGCTCAAATTCTCAATCCAGTAGCCGCTTCTTGTGGGTTCATTCCCTATCTTAGGACTACAACCATACAACACACTAATAATTTTTTGGAAACAGTTCAATATATATACGCGTATGTTACAAACTACAAAGTACCCATAAGCATCACTATCTTTATTAATTATTATAGAGCAGGGGCATAGCTGTTGGTAGCGTACACACAGTTAATGCGAGCTTGACCAGCACAATGGCGTGTTTCATTTGGAAGCATTTCGAGTTAAAGTCGGGTCAGTGTCAGTGATTTAGTCCACAAGATGACCCTCTCCACTTGGAACTTACAAGAAGACCAGGGACCATTCTAAGGTTCATCACCAAAAGAATAATGTTTTTGTAACACTATCTTTAATGTATATCAAGTAATAATAAGAAAAAACTGAAAATATAATAGATATTGTGACGTAAGGAAAAATTAAAAAAGTTGTAGAAATATATAAATATAATATGTTGGCACCACAAACTTTCTTCTTAGGTTTAGGCAGTAGGCACCCCACAATTTTACGTTACATCGGCTATCACGTGAAAAACTTCACGCACTTTGCATCCTTTGTCGCTTCACCCTTTTGCAATCTGCTTCCAAAGGTGGGGGTGCTTGCAACATCCACAAATCAGATGAAACAGATACAAAAGACATTTTAGGAATTTTTGTGGTGATTAAATCGTTGAAAATAAAAGTAAAGTCATCATTTGTATAGTTGTATTTGTTATCTTTTTTTCATTTTTCCCCAACTTACCATAATACTTTCTCATCAGGGCAAATTATTATTCACATATAGCTTAAATTTGTATAATTAATTGTTTTTAAATTTAAGGTAAGTTACATCTAATTTAGTACAATTTTACTTGATATTTCTCCTTCTTTAAATATTATTTTGACTTTTTTTTTTGGTCTAGACTTCCTCTTTTTATTTAAAATGCATATAGTGTATTTGAACAATAAAAAAAGAATATGCTGTTATATTTTACCATATAACTTAAGAGAAATTTATGAAATAAAAAAATTATTAGATACAATTTTATTAAATTTCATGAAGTATGAGTATAATTTACTCTTAAATTTATTGTATTATATTATATATCCACTTAGTTAATTACGTGATGTGTTCCTTTTTATCAACTATTTAGCTCTCAGCAGGTCCGTATGATATAAGTCTTTCCCTGCGGTATTGCTTTGTGTTTCGGATATTGTTGACCTTTGTGCATTTCAAACTTAGAATCCTACAGTGTTTTATATTCTTTTACTTTCTCCCAACGCAAACAAACGGAAATTTGGGAACAAAATATAAAAAAATCCTGAGATCTATAATAAAAAATGAATTTACAATGAGAAAAATGTAAAACAAACACGATTTTAGTCTAAAGTACAAGTGCATAGGGGATGTTATATAAAGTTTGCTGTCTTTATTTTCGTCAACCCAATTTAAGATAAATATTTTTGTGGACATGCAGTTGAGTTGTTTCTTGTGTACACTAAACATAGTAATTGCATCCACTACATGAGATCTAAATATCTTGGTAGACTATTTGGTTACTTCTGTTAATAGTTATACGCTATCTAGAAATAATGTTGAACTTCATCTTGTAAACTACCTTAGTTGTTCTCACTAAAAACACTGAAAATCATTTACCTCTCTAGGACTTCAATGTTTGTCTATACTAGCTTTATTTGTATTTTACTACACACTGAATTATTTTACCTGTGGGAAGGAGTTCACCGTGACTATGTTGTGTTAAACTTTTCCAATCACTTGAACGTGCTGGAGGTATATCTTGCTTGTGTGGTTGGGATTTGTGCGGACAAGTTCATGATGTTACACACATTATTGAAGCCATACCCACCGCCGAACATAGCTCATTGTAGGGTAGGGATCAACCAAGAACAATGCACTTCCACAACTGTGGAATACTTTTTCAAATATTTTTCTATACTTACTGAATTATATGAGTTGTGTTTTTTTTTTTTTTATCTTCTTGTGTTTCGGTTCTGGCATTAATTATTTCTAGCTAGTATATATCTTCTTCTGTATTTCCAACATTATCCACGCTAAGCTTCTTTTATCTACTTTACGATACGGTTTTAACTTAATCAAGATGTAAGGTGAAATAATATGTATTTAGATTACACACAAAAAATTAGATGACACCTTTAAAGGGTGCACGCTCATTTTCTTATAGTAATTAATGGCATATCGTAATGTAAAAAAGGAAATATATTTCTCCCTATATCTCAAGAAGGAAAAATAAAACAAAACATAATTATACATCGAACCGAGCTCTGCACTTCGTAGCTAAAAAATTGTGTAGCTAGTTGTGAAATGCTTACCGTTTACAATGAACTTTATTTAAATGTTATTTCAAAAAGATACAATAAAAAAATATTATTTATCGAATATTTTGTTATAATATTTTTTAATTACAATATTTATTTTATCATTTTTTAATTTTCTTTTTTCTTAATATACATATATACTTACCTTTTGCAGTCAATTTTTTTTATCTAAAAAATTAATATTTAAAAACTTAAATAAAACAATTATTGTACAAAAATAAATGTTACTATTCTACGTAAACAGATATGTATTTCTAAAGGATTGAAAAAATATATTATATACATGGTATTGAGAAGCCAGCTGCATTGTAGGACCATCGAAAACCTCACTTAAATTTGGGGATAGGATATCAATTCTTTGAAGGTGATTGGAGGAGACGATGCGAGAAGGAACGTGTCAAGGTATGATTGGGTGATTGAGGATCTTGATCCTGTACGGTGGGGTGGAACCCAGTATCTGAGAATGTCAGTACGACGTGGCGGATCATCGACCATGTTCTTGTGAGGTTTACGATCACCAAACTCGCTGTCTGACGCTGTCTTAGCCAATCACTCTCGCCCACCCCCCCACACCATACCCTTCCCGTCCGGTCTCCTACTCAACCATGTCCTTGTTCCCCTCACTCATTAGCAGTTACACGTTCCCAAGAGATACATTTTAGTCTATATATAATTCTCTCTATTCTTTTACAAATATATTTTCTTGATCTTAATCATAATTATATATAACCCACTACGGTCATTTGATATAGATATTTTTTAACATAAAATCTAATTTTGTATTATATAATTAATTTTCTAGTCTTATGTCAATTGGTCATTTATTTGAATCAAAATTATGTATTTTATAAAGTTTTTAACTCTTAAACACTTTGGTTGAGATAATTCTATCCATTTCTTTTTCATAGTCATGCTCTGTTAATTCTGCCACTTGATTAACACATATATGGAAGGTGTTTTTGGTGCTAACAAAGCCTTGTTACAAGTCTATAAGTGTCAGGGCCACCAAAACAATAAATAGTTTGAAATAGTTGAAAATGACAACATGTCTTCAAATAATGAATACGTATGTCACCGATAATAACTAAAAAACATACCTCCCCAAAGCATGCATATGTATAGAGTTGTATATTCAGAAAATCATGTGGGCGAAAAGATAAGACGCAAAATAGGATTATGGTAACTTTTCCTTTCTAATGTCTCTCTCAATAGGAAAAGGTTGAGCTCGTGTACAAGCATGTAAATTAAGCCCACATAATTCTGCTGGGTGAAATTGAGCCAATGGGAACTTCTTGTCTGCAATACTGCAAGCAGATTAAAAGGGACAGCACCAGGGGGAAAATGACTTGGGAAAAGGAACCGCGCAACGAAGTAAGTTATATGACACCCCCAATCAACATCATAAACTTGGTCCACAATAACAGACTCACAAGTTGTAGTTCATCCCATGAAGATTAAATCACAATAACAAAGTCATGCTAGCTAGCTACAGTGTTCAAAAGCTCTTTATAATATCCCCCACCACAGAACCCATTGATATCCCAATCTCATCCATTTCATTCTCTTTGCCTAGTTTCTGTCCATTCCCCCAACCAAACCCACCCACAGAAGCACATGGCGTCTCCCAATAGACTCTCTCTTGCCATGGAGAGAACCGGGCAATGGTACACAACACACTCAACCCCACTTTCTTCCATTTTCAAACCCATGCATCATCATGCATGCGCATGCTTAATTACTCTCTAAACTCTATCTTGCATGTGATTTTCTTGCAGGGTTTTCTCTCAAGAAATCCCAACTGATGTTATAGTTGACGTTGGAGAAGCTACTTTCTCTCTCCACAAGGTGAGTATTGTGAATGATCGTTAACTATCATAATATGTGATTACTTACTTGTTCATGCATGTGACAGAAAAAAATTAACTATGGTGCTTGCAGTTCATGCTAGTGGCAAAGAGCAACTTCATAAGAAAACTGGTAATGGAATCAAAAGAGAGTGAAATAACAAGAATCGACCTCTCTGATATACCAGGAGGCCCTGGGATCTTCGAGAAAGCAGCCAAATTCTGTTACGGCGTCAACTTCGAGATAACGGTCCATAACGTCGCGGTTTTGCGCTGCGCTGCGGAGTTTCTCCAGATGACCGATCAGTTCTGCGAAAACAACCTCGCCGGCCGGACGGAGGACTTCCTCTCACAGGTCGCTTTCTTCACCCTCACCGGTGCCGTCACCGTCCTCAAGTCCTGCCGTCACCTTCTTCCCTATGCTGAGGAACTCGGCATCGTTAAACGCTGTGTCGAAGCCGTCTGCGCCAAGGCATGCAGCGAGGCCAATTTCCCCAGTCGCTCGCCGCCGAACTGGTGGACGGAGGAACTCGCGGTTCTCGACATCGATTTCTTCGGGAGAGTCATCGCCGCCATGAAACAGCGCGGTGCTAAGTCTCTCACCTTAGCCAGTGCACTGATTACCTACACGGAGCGAGCGCTCCAGGATCTAGTCCGCGACCACACCGGCAATGGAATCCGGTCGTCAGATCCCGGCGATTCGGATTCCAGATCCAAGCAACGGAAGCTTCTCGAGTCCATCGTGGATCTCTTCCCCTCCGAGAAAGCCGCGTTTCCCATCCACTTCCTCTGCTGCCTCCTCCGCTGCGCTATCTACCTCCGCGCCTCCACCGCCTGCAAGACCGAGCTCGAGAAGCGAATCTCGGCGATCCTCGAGCACGTAACCGTCGACGACCTCCTCGTCCTGTCGTTCACCTACGACGGCGAGAGACTTTTCGATCTGGAAAGTGTGCGCAGGATAGTTTCAGGATTCGTGGAGAAAGAAAAAAGCAGCGCTGTCTTCGCCGCCGGAGAATTCAGAGAGCCTTGCTCAGGCCCGATGCTGCGCGTGGCCAAAATCGTCGATGCATATCTCGCCGAGATCGCCGGGTACGGTGAACTCAGCATCTCGAAGTTCAACGGCATCGCCATCCTAATTCCTAAAAACGCGCGTAAGGTCGACGACGATCTATACCGTGCCGTGGATGTCTATCTGAAGGTGCGTAGTACTGAAACATCTTATTCCGGTTCACAAACAAAGAATCGGAGAAAACGACACCGTTTAACGTGTTTGTTTTTTGCAGTCGCACCCGAAGCTTGACGAAATAGAGAGAGAGAAGGTGTGCAGCGTGATGGATCCGTTGAAACTGTCGTACGAAGCGCGTCTGCACGCGTCGCAGAACAAGCGTTTGCCAGTGCAGATCGTGCTTCACGCGCTTTACTACGACCAGTTGCGGCTGAGGAGTGGGGTGGAGGAGAGGGACTCGGGGGCGGAGAGGAACCACCTTCAGGTGGATGTGTCGTTGGTGAGGGAGAACGAGGAGTTGAGGACAGAATTGATGAAGATGAAGATGTTCATTTCGGACATGCAGAAGAGCGTTCCGAATTCTCAGGGACATGGAACGACGTCGTCTGTGTCCTCTAAGAAGACCACGTTCTTCTCTTCCATGTCCAGAACGCTTGGAAAGTTGAACCCCTTCAGAAATGGGTCTAAGGATACCACTCATTTAGAAGATGGGAACGTGGATTTCACTAAGCCCAGGAAGAGAAGGTTCTCTGTATCTTAAATTATAATGCAACCCTCTTCCTTCTTAGCTTTCTGTGTCTTTCTTGGTGTTTGTAATTTCTGTTGCCTATGCGCAGAATTCATATATAGCTCGGGTTAAGTTTGTTGAGGGATCATGGATCATGCCAATATTCATGAAAAAAATATAAAAGTGATGCCATGTTATTCTGAATCTTGCAAACTTCTCATCGTATTGTGTAGATTATTTGTTTAATATAATGTGTATATGTTCTTTAGGAAACTAGTTTTGCCATCATTTTTATGCCCTTTTTATTCTTCTTCTATAAACAAATTTGCATTTTGTGCGTGTGAACTGTGAAACTCACGTTCAGAGTATGTAAAACAGACTTAAAATTATGATGTTTGGCAAAACTTTCTTTGCTCAATATCACTCTGGCTAAGTTGACGCAGTTGCCAGTACATGAAATTATATTTTTAAAATAAATTATAAACTTATATTATCAAATATATTCTCTTTTATCTAACTATCAACGAATTTTTTTCACATGTATCCAATTTCTTATGCTATGTATTTATTTCTTTTTATTCGATGTTTCAGCAATTATTTTTTATTTCATCTTGATTGACATTTTACAATATCCATAAATAACTAAATATGTTTTTTATTTTAATATAAACTTTAATTAACATGAAATTAAACATATAATAAAACATTAATAATTGATTTATGTAAAAATACAATATTAATTATATTTCTTAATTCCCGTCCCTCGACCTTAAATGAAGGAGAAAAACATAAATGAAGTATTATCAAACTATTCGATTAAGCACACTAGATAGACGATGTTTTAAATGTTAGTCATATTGTGTATTAAACAAAATAAATATATTGATAGACACATTGAAATATTATTCCTCTCAGAGTACTCAATGGGTCTCACAATCTTTTAATTTCTTTGTATATGTAAAAATTAAAGTTTGTAGCTAAGATATAATTTGTTAGCCTAGTTTGTAGGAATTTTTTTATTTTTAATTTTTTTATATTTATATAAAATAACTTTAAAACTTTTTTAAATTCATTTAATATGTTTTAGTAGTTGTACAATTAAATTTACTAAATATTTCCAATTTAATTAGTTATTTGTAATCGATAATTTTGTAAGTAACTTATTAACATGAACTATAAAATATAAGTTCTCAACTAATTTTATCAAATAAAATCTCAATATATTGTGTATGTTTTCAATTAAAATAATTAAAAACATATCCCGCGAAAAAAAAAAATCTTACATAAAATAATTATACCTGAAGATAAAATAAAGGAATCAAAGAAGATAATTTTGATGGACTCATCATAAATTTGGATTGTGTTGATACATATTTTTTTGATTTGGTTTATTTAGAATGTATCTAACGAGTCATTTTAGTTAGTTTATAACTTGTTTTGAGTACTTCTTTATAAGTTTGTTCAATCAAAATATAGGTATTTAGCTAGTAAATTTATTTTACTAATTTATAGCTTTTTAAAAAATTCATTTAAAGCAGTTTTTTTTTCCTTTTAATGTTATAATTTTAAAATTTTTATCTTTGACACTTAATTTTGATACACTATTAATATAAATATTTTTATATTACCAATTAATTAAAATATACTATACGTAACATTTTAAAATTAATTATCACAAAGTCCACAATTTTTGTGACAAAATTTTATATTATTCATATATTTTAAATAAATTCACATTTTAAATCCTTATTTGTGTTTACATTAATAATATATTATTTATTTGGATTATTACACTACTTGTGAATGTTATTTTTATTTTTAATAAACTATTTGATCCTTAAATAAAAATAATAAAATATTTAAATTAATTAAAAAAATATTTTTATATAATTAAAAAATTATAAATTAGTTCAATAGTTAATTTTATTAATAAGTTTACATTATATCATTTAATTAAATATTATCGTTTAATATATATTTTTAAAAATTTTAACTATCTTGTCGGTTATTTTGCCAAATATAACCTTAGAAATCATTCATTGAAATGACATGTACTTAATTTTTTCACATATATTTTAAATTTATATAGATAGAAATTTCTTCCTTTCTTTGTTTGAGTGATTTTCATTTCTGGGTGCAACACAAATGCGTTTTTTGGTTTTCAGGTCCAAGACTAGTGAATGCAAAGCTGAAGCCCAATTCCATAACAACACCCATAAATTATTCTGTTTTCTCTTGTGAAGAAAATACGAGAGGAAACAAAATATCTCGAAACTGTAATGTCCCAAAATATATCATGATGATAAGAATACATATATTTTTTTCAATTAATTATGTTTTCATTATTTACATTTTTTATATTATTCTTTACATTTTTTTAATCAAACTGAATAAAAGAAAAAAAAATTATCCATATCAAGTGTAGCTTATGCTCGATAAAATATTACTTTGAAAAATTAAGAAAAAATATTATTTATTATTTATTTAAAACAACCTAAATTTAACACTCTTAATTCATCAATAAAGGGATTTCTTCGCTTACACGAATGCAGGGTCGTTATCGTCATTCTCTCTTTTCTCATAAAAAACATTAAAAAATAAAAGAAAAAGGCACAACAACGAATCCATTATTCCAACACCACTCCGATACCCAAACCCTATTCCCCAAACCAAAATCTTCGATTCTCACTCCCAGCAACGACTATGGGATCCTCCGCGATGGTGTTGGACCCAAAGCCTCAATCGGAGCCACCACCGTCTCTTCCGTCGACCAAATCCGATTACCTTCAAGGCGGTTTCGGCGGTGACTTAACTTCCGATGAAGACGACCTCTATAGCCGCCTCAAATCGCTTCAGAGACAGCTAGAGTTCATCGACATCCAAGAGGAATATGTGAAGGATGAACAGAAGAATCTGAAGCGCGAGCTTCTTCGCGCGCAGGAAGAGGTTAAGAGGATCCAATCGGTTCCACTTGTCATTGGCCAGTTCATGGAGATGGTGGATCAGAACAACGGCATCGTTGGATCCACCACAGGATCCAACTACTATGTTCGGATCCTCAGCACTATCAACCGTGAGCTTCTCAAGCCTTCCGCCTCCGTTGCTCTCCACCGCCACTCCAACGCGCTTGTCGATGTTCTGCCGCCGGAGGCTGACTCCAGCATCTCCCTCCTTAGCCAGTCTGAGAAGCCTGATGTCACTTATAATGTCAGTTTCTTAACGTTTTCCTTATCGGTTTTCGATTACCGTTTTCTTTTGACAGAAAAAAATTTGAAACCTAGGGTTTTGCTTTTAGTGCAAATTTAACTTATTGTCGTTGTCGTTGTTGTTTGGATTTTCAATTGCAGGTTGATTAGGCAAAAATGAAAGTTTAACTTGAGTGGATTTTATTGAGTGTGATTTCTAGTTGGAGTTTAAATGGGCATAGTTTCGACAGAATGAAAATTTAGCTTTGTGTTTGTGATTTGAACTGTGTTGGTAAAAATAAAATGGAATAAGAAAGTGCTTTTAGTTTGAAGGTAACGTGGTGTAATGTGATGGATATCCGATTTGCTGAGTGAAGGGGATCAGGGTTCTGAATTTGGGCGTTTCTATTGAGGATTGAATGTGTTTTAAAATGATATAGGTGTAGGGTACGGGGTTTGAGTGTACAATGGTTATTCCAGTGCCTTATGATGTAAATCCTCACATATTGGTCCCAAGGTGGAGTATCCTTGTTCTCTTCAAGGATGTTAAAGAATGTTTTCGCTAGACATGTGCGAAGTGAGTCTACATTTAGGGGATTTGATTGATGTGACTGTTTCTTATTGTCTTATTGGTTCTAGAATTAAATGGGAATTGTTGCCTTATGTCATTGCTCAATATTTGCAGATTCTTGGGCTCAGTCTGAAATCTATATTGGGCCCCTAGGATATGTACAAGTGTGAGAAAACAGTGCCCCAGATAGATAGCCTCAACAACCTGTAACATGAAAAATCTTGATATTGGTTTGGAGAATTCAAGTGTCTTGGATTAGTAATTGCATTTAAAGCTCAAGAAGATTGTTCTTATTTCAAGAATGAGTTAGTCCAATAAATTAGCTTTTGGCGGTGGTGGTTGGGGGGGGGGGGTCCTCTTAATTCTGTATATGTCTCTTGTAATCCAGGAATCTGATGCCAGATGTTATGTTATTTGTTTGTATGTTAATTAAATTATATGCTAAATTGTATTGAATTTCAGGGGTTACAGCGTAATAACATTGAAACTGAAACTTAAGGTCTATTTTCTTTAGGTTGGAACTTGGACCTTGGACCTTGGACCTTGCAAGGAGAGATAGTGTCTAATGAGGGAAGATGGGAGTGATGAAGAAGTGTGATACATAAAAATTATTAGCAATTGTTTTTAGGTGGTATATTTGTTAGGCCTTCTAATTTTCATGTATTAACTATTACTATCAAACATGTTGTCTTGAGTGTTTTTTTTTAAACAATAAATGGGCATCCCTGTTTACTTTTATTATGGTTATGATTGTTTTAGGACATCGGAGGCTGTGATATCCAGAAACAGGAAATTCGTGAAGCTGTGGAGCTACCCCTTACACATCATGAGCTATACAAACAAATTGGTATTGATCCTCCTCGTGGTGTTCTCCTATATGGACCCCCTGGCACTGGTAAAACAATGCTTGCCAAAGCTGTTGCTAATCACACCACTGCCGCCTTCATCAGGGTTGTGGGATCTGAGTTTGTGCAGAAGTATCTTGGTGAGGTATGAATTTTAGGTCATCTGCATTTGAAGTGATGTTGACAATGTTATAACTTTGCTGTCTATGTTTGCATTTGAATATTATGGGTTTCTGATTCATATTTACTAATGTTATTATACTCATCATGTTTAGTAATTTTGTTGCAAATTTGTGGATTTTGTAGATTTTTTTAGGATTTTGTTTGTGTTGTTTCATGCCAATAATTATAACTAACAGTGTTGCTAAAATTTCCTGGGAGTGTCAAATTTCATATTTTCTGCATGAATGATTAATTAATTGTTTAACAATGATTTACTGCAATATTTTCAAATCTTGTCTGCTATTTATATTTCAGGGTCCACGGATGGTTCGTGATGTATTTCGCCTTGCAAAAGAGAATGCCCCTGCCATTATATTTATTGATGAGGTGGATGCTATAGCTACTGCTAGATTTGATGCCCAAACTGGGGCTGATAGAGAAGTACAGCGTATTCTTATGGAGCTTTTGAATCAGGTATCTTCAAAATGATATTGCTGTTAGGTGCTGTGCATTTTCAATTTACTAAGTAGTAAGCTCTTCTGTTTGACAGTTTTTTTAGATCTCTAAAGTTTTGGTTTACTACCTGTCCTTTTCTTCAGATGGATGGTTTTGATCAAACAGTAAATGTTAAAGTCATAATGGCAACTAACAGGGCAGACACTTTGGATCCTGCTCTTTTGCGTCCTGGAAGGCTTGATCGAAAAATTGAGTTCCCTTTGCCTGATAGACGCCAAAAGAGGCTTGTATTTCAGGCAAGTTTTTTGGCAATTTTTATGTTAGAATTTTTTAGTGTTAGTATAACACATTTATTATCCATAGGACATTTTATTTCATAAGTGAGAAATTTCAATTTTTTTGACAGACTTGAAGTGGCTTTAAATATTAAATTATTTACTAGTTGAACTTTTTAACTTCTTGCTAGCCTATTATTTGATGCTTTACTATCACTCACAGGTTTGCACCGCTAAAATGAATCTGAGTGATGAGGTGGACCTGGAGGATTATGTTTCCCGTCCTGACAAAATTAGTGCTGCTGAGGTTCGTTCTTATCTTATTCAATAATTGTCTTGATGTTAATAATTTTATGGAAGACCATGTGTAATAGTTCATTATCATAAATGATTTATTTAACCGTCAAATTTTTTAGAAATTTATTGTTTTTCACTCCCATCATCTTGTGAGAAGGTTTAAAGCAATTTTGATAATACTTTCTCTCTCCTGATGGATCTTCCAGTAAAGGGAGAGGATTTGTTCCCGATAAGCTAACCTGGGGCGTGGTTGGTAACTTGTTACAATTTTTAGATGCATGACGTGAGGGTATTTTGCTGCTATTAAGAGTTTCCTTTGATCTGAACACTGATGTATAAAGAAAAATTATTTTGTTTCTTTATATAAGGTGTTTTATATTAATTGACTAGCTGAATGACATTACTTCATTGGGAAATTGTGGATTGCTGAGGTGAAGCTATTATCTTAGTTTCATTTTCAAAGTAAAAAAATATGTCGGTAAATTGAGGGGATTTATGGGAAGATGAGTTTTTATTGTTGTGAAAAGGATTATGTCGTGGAGGATTTGCTCATCTATGCTTAGAAGGTTGGACAGCTAATGAAAATATTGCAACTGCTGTATGAGAAGTAAATGTTAGATGATCTGGATATATTTTTAGCAAAGCTTCTCCTGACAGGCATTGATAAAAGGAGGAGGGCGGTGTGTGGTAGCAGGGTGGCCTGTTACATGGTTGTGATAGAAACTTTAGTCTCTGGATTTAAAATAGAGATGGGGCGGGGGGAAGGGTTTGAAAGCACAAATGTTTGATCGAATATTAAGCATTTTATATACGATCTTGGGATTCAGTGTCTCCCAATCTCATATTCGTATGTGTGGTGAATACATAAATACATAAATTTGAATTTTGGTTTTATTACTGAAAAAGATAGCTGTGGCAAGAAAAAATAACAACCAAACTTTTAAGTAGAACATCATTATTGAAGATTACCATCATAGCATTTCTTCGTAGAATATAACGGCATTTATTATTTAATGATTGTCCCTGCAGATAGCAGCTATTTGTCAAGAAGCAGGAATGCATGCTGTTCGCAAGAATAGATATGTCATACTGCCAAAGGACTTTGAGAAGGGTTATAGGACAAACGTGAAGAAGCCTGACACTGACTTCGAATTTTACAAGTGATGATGGAGGGGCTTTCCGGTGGTTTACGTGCGTGTGTGCAGCATTCATATATAGTCAAGGGTACATTTCTAGAGGAATCTCGAATCACATCAATATTCGTGGGAAATGATGCAATATTTCTATTTCTTCAGACTTTTCATCTTATATGTAATGTAGATTATTTAATTTACTGAATAGATTAATTGTGGCAGCTTACTATTGAGTACATATTGCATGCTTGGTTGATTGTTGAGAACATTACACGAGGGTTTGGAAAACGAAGTCTGAAAACAGTTTTAAAAATGACTTCAATTAGTTCAATATGCCTCTTGGCTGATTGTTTTAATGGCAAAATGGTGTATCGTAAGAGGAAAAGATGGCGTAAAATTTTTATGATGATTTTAATGTGCACAATGTATTAATTTTTGAACTACTCAATTCGAAACACATACTTGACACTTATTTCTATTTTAATCGTATCCAAGTAAATGTTAGTTTCGGACACGCTGAAATACTATGCAGACACACAGCACATTTTTGTCGAGTGGAATTAAACGCAATGAAGGGATGCATTTTGGTTTAAACTCGCGTCAAGTTTTATTGGTTTGGTAACCCTTCTAGTTTGCTAAATTTTATTAGGTGAGTTGAAATTTCTATTTTTGTAACCAAGATAAACTTTCAGTGTTCGTAGCAGAATTATATAACTTATATTTTAGCTGGAACCTTTTTTGGTTGCTACATTTTGAGTTTTAGTCCATACAATTTTGAGTTTTAAGTTGCAATTCTTCACTGATGTGCTTAAATAAGGGGATCTTATGTATCATTTTTTGTAGGCTTACGATAGGGAAAGACTAAAACTAAAAAATTCATAAAAATGTAGAGATTAAAATTTAAAAAGTTTGAAGGGACTGAAACTAAAAGGATTTTAAATATAAATAAAAAACATTTAATTTTCATTATTATGGTTTTATATTTATTTCTTGCTTTTTTTTTAAATGTTTTATTTTTCGCATACTAGCACACAGTGGCCCACCTTTCAAGGGTGTCTCATGTATTTTTTTTATTAGACTGACATGCAGAGTTTTACTTAAAAATGTTAATAATGTATTTTTTAACACACTTTTTTTAATACAATTTTTATTATTGACTAAAATTATAAAAAACTACATGAGTACGAAAGAGAAAATATTAAGATTAATATAATTTTTATAATTTTAAATAAATTTTAATCAATAATAGAGAGTGTGTTGTTAACCTTTCTTTTTACTTATATTTACAATTTGACCAATTTCGTATGCATTAGAAATTTAATCGACCATGAATGTTGTAATATAAGAGCTGCAAAAGAAACTTGCCTCGTTATTGTTGGTGCGGTAGAAAGCAGCTACTAGTCAAGAAGCGGGAATACATGCGTTCTAAGAACAAATGTCATTATGATTGAGAAGGGCTATAAGACGAAAATGAAGGAGCTGATAGCCGTATTATCATTATTGTTAAGTCTCTCTGATCTTTTGCTGCAACTTGTTCCATACTAACTTCAATGATTAACAAAAATTAATGTAAGCTAATAAAAGTTTTTGTTTTTAATCTTGTAATATTTAACAATGTATAGTGTCATCAATGAATTTTCAAAGCAATCCTAACATTTGATGATAATAAGACAAATATTAACTACTATGCTTAGTACATTGATAAAGAAATTAAAAGTGAGAAGTTCTCTTTAAACAGTATTTATCAAAACATTCTTACATGATTTTGAATACATTTTAGCATATTTTTTTCAAATAAAAATCTTTAAATTGATTTGTTTATCAATATCTTAAAAATACTAGTTAGTAATACCCTAATAGTAATAAAGAACTATTTAAAGTTGAGGATGAATAACTAAAAGTGATAAACCATTATTTTAAGAATATAAAAGTGTAAAATAAAAACTTACTATTGACAAATGTTTAAACCGAGGTTAATAAAATCATAATAAAAATGATAAATATATTTAATAAGATCATAAACCGTGGCACAAATCTAAGGATTGGAGGGATATACAAATGTGGATTCAGACAATGAACTGGGCCTGACATGAACCTTTTTAGACCCAACAAAGTTGAACGGATCAGAATTAGGACCTATCAATTTTGGAACAGCAAATCCGTTACCACTGATTAGGTTATATGGTCCCCAGAGAAACACTTGGCATTAAGCTAATAAATGAGTATAGAGGGACCATCTTTCATTTAATGAATTTGTAGGACTATGCTCCTCTCACGCCTGTTTTCCCGTTAGTGAACACTGTGGTCACCAGAGAAACTTCTCTATGTTTGTTGGTTTTCTAACATTGCATCAAATATTAGATGGACACCACTGTCCACTTAGTTTTCAAAAATTGGTCACTAAAAACTACGTTTAAATGCCCATAAGCTATTAGGGACCCCTTTTCTCCCAACAATATTAGAGTGTGTGAGTGGGATAATGAGAGTTCATTAGTATCATCATTGTGATGATTATTATTTTAAGATAAAATAATCAGTTAATCGTTGTGTAGATTTTTTTAGTTAATTAGACTTATTTTGTGTTTAAAGATAAAATTATTTTAGCAAACTCATTTTTCTTTTAAAGAGGAAGGAAGGTATGGAAATTTCCTTTCCTATGTTGATAAGTTAGGTCTCTATTTTCTTGAATTTGTGTAACTCCGTTGATAATAATAAATAATAAAAGTTTATACATAAATTTTTTTATAATAATCTTTAGAAAATATTAATTTTTTATTATATACTCTTGACTTTTAAAAAACTATTGTTATTTATTCTAAGGCAGTTGTTCACTTGTAGTAGTTGATTGATTATAGAAGTTGTTAATTTCTGAAACATTTGCTTGCAGGTAAAGGGAATATAATCTGACAAATCATACTCATACCCAACAATTTTGAATAACCCAAGACAAACTTGAGCTAAAAAAAATGAAAGTGTTCACCTAACATGTTTATATGGTACATTTTATTGGTTACTTGTAGCACTGTACATCTGTCAATAATATACAATAACTCCTTCGACTACGTCAAAGGATGTGCTACAAAAATGTTACGTATTTAGGATCGTAACTTTAGAAAGTTTATGTTATAGATTATGAATTAAATCATTTAATAATAACGTTACTTGATTATAATTATTATATTTTATTGATATATTATAAAATGACAAACTATAATTTATCTAATGATTATCAAATCGACTCAGTAAGTGCTACTGAATTAGAATCTTCTGATCATATTTGTTTTAATCATGCTGTGCTTTAAAAGAGAAAAATATAAATAAATTATAATAATGTTACCTTTATTCATGTAAACTTTGAACATTTTTATTTTGTGTTTTTTTTTCTCTTTGACTTTATACCTTTTATTAATATTGCCTCTTAAATACTTTTAAGGTTATCTATGTCAAACCTTTTTTTCTTCTGGTATCTTCATCAAATATTTCTAAATTTCTATTTTATCTAAACTCATTTAATTCCCTAATGTTATAGCAAATAAGAGGAATTGAGAAAAAAGATAAAATTGAAACTTTGTGTTCCTAAGCATACATAACAGCAGTTTCGATGAGCTCTATCTAACACCAATTAGCATTGAAAGAAGCTAATAGCCTATGGGCCACACAGAGGATCTGCATGATCGAGGAACAAAGGGAACATAATCAAACGTCACCCAATTTGAGATGGCAGAGTATGATAAAACTCGCCATCAACACTTCTTCAACTTTTGCTCGAACTTGAGGAACGATATTAATTAGCATATTGTAAAGTTCTTGATTCGAGAATAAAAAAGTTTTGAAATTTGTGAATCTTCCAACAAAGAGAGAAAAAAAATGTAAAAGAATAATGGACTATGTTGCAAATGATGGTATGCCTAATGGATTTGAATAAATAAAGGTGTTTGTTACTGTAATTCTAAATTGAATTGTTAATTGGGAGTTGCTATCTTGTAAAGTAGAAGATTCTTTGGTGTGGTTTAAGACAACAAAAACTTGCTTCACAATATAATGATTTATAATCTGTGAAGTTGCAGCCATTGTCGTCTATACATGCTTCTTGTAATCCTCTTTGTCTATTCTTTTGCTCTACGTGATAATTAGGCTGCTAATACTTTTTATTAATTAAAAATATATTCTTTTCATCAATTAAGGAAAAATGCTAACTCTTACAAGTTAAATTTTTTTATTATTATCTGAAATTTATAAACTAATATGATTAAGTTTCACCATCTATTAAAATTATATGTTGTTGATATTTCTTTTTATTGACCCGTTGAGTGACGTAACCTTTTCTGTAAGCAAATAAAATGAGATTAATGTTTTTAATAAATTATCATTATTCATTTAAAATGGAAAAGTATAAGTCATATCTTCTCAATCGAACACTGCGTATGTTCTTTTGTTATTTTTATTTTAGTAATCATCATTCGTCATTTTTTAAAGTGTATAGATTCTAAGTCAGAAAGAATATAATATAATAAAAATAATAAATATGAAAAGTAATGTGCAAGAAAAAATAATAAAAATATTGTTATTTTTCCGTTGCCAAAAAAAAGATAGGGTATGAATGTATGATTATGCAATCTGAACATCATTTTTCTTGAATGAAAAAAAACACCATTTTTCTTTCTCATTAACCCTGTTAATTTTATTGTGCATGTACGTAAAAATATGTAATCATGTATAGGGATGCAAAAAAAATAGAGAGTAAAGGACCCTAATTACATAATACATGCATTCATTTCCTCCTAATTTTTCAAATGTTTAAAAAAACTTTTTTTAAAATTAATAAAACATGACTGTATATCATAAGTTTATATTAATAATAATAATATAAAAGAATATAATAATTAATATATTTCAAAATAAGTCTTTATTTTTTAATTTTTAAAAAAATAGTAGTAGTTCTTGTAAATAAGATAGAAAGTAATATTATTGTTATAGTAAGGTTAGAAAGAGAGATCAAATAGCTTAAACAAATTTAATAAAAACATATGCAAAATGTAGGTTAGTAATTAACAATAACATTATTCATATGCATGCGAATGGTTTATACAATTCGAATTTATAATCACGATGATATCTGGTGCCAGTATACACTTTCAAATATATCATCATGAGGTGTGATACCAGATCAATTAATATGCACATGAGCAAAAAAAAAAACCCACTTTCCTTTGAAGTTTGTCCCTGCTTTACATTTGAAGAGGCTCCAATTAATATAGGACCACGTTTAATGTTTTGGCACAAAAATGCATCAGAAGGATAGGCATCAATCATGGACAACATGCCACTCTATCATTAATATTTTTGCTAAATTACAAATTTATTGTCTCGAGG